ATGATAATTTTGAGTATTTCCTCGTCTTTTGGGCCTTTCATACAAGCTATAAAACTATTATTCACATTTTATATATTGGATACACATTTTGTTCGCATAAAGCAATTTGTATGCATGCATCTGTTTGTGTGTGGAGCCAGCACTTACTCTGCTCACGGTACTCCGCTGTCTACAAATCCTGCAAAGTTAGCGAGCTACAATGGCCAAGCGCGGCAGAGACGATTGCCCCGAGAGAGATAAATGACTCAAAAGCATATGACATCCTCACCTCGCCCATAGCTCCAGAATTCAGCTCACCTTTCCCATCTCTTCCTCCCCTCCTGTTATCCATTTCTAGACTGTCTAAAATGATAGTTGACTCTATTCTGCGAGCTCATCCCCAACACAAACGTTTTGGCCCGGCGATGAATGACCGACCCGATGAACGCTCTCCTGAGCCTGTTGTATGAATGTTCGTTAGGATTTATTTATGTTTGTGCATATGTATAATTTTATTATAAAGGCCAGTATGTGCACGCGAGTGTACTCTTGTTGGTGTGTTCATGCCTGAGTATAAAAGACAAGGAGTACGAAGAAATAGAGGATGGCAAGGCGAGCTTGTCTTTTTGTGTGGACACATGAGGAGAGTCAAGCAACGGCATAAAGCTCGATACAGAGATGGGGAGACCGAGGGAAAGGGAGTGGGCGAAATAAAGACATGATACTTAATTCTCTGGTCCCAGTGACAGGCCGGTTTCTCTTTCAGTCCGGTTCTTTATCGTGCTTCAACAAAAGCCCTCCTGCCTTCTGACTCTATCCACACGTCTCTATGCGTATGTGCATTTGTACATGTATTTAGCAGCGTGTGCATCTTCTAGTTCCTGTAGAGATCGCTTCAGATGGTCATCTTGGTCAGTCTCCACCGGCGTGTGCACAGCCAAAGTTGTGGGGCGGAGCGAAGAAGGATATGGTAATTCTGGCTGTGCAGGAAAAAAATGAGGAGCGGCTTCTCTATGACCATGAGATGCGCTAAAACGTGAGTTGCTAGTACAGAAAAATGGGCACTGCCATCTCCCATAGACTCCGGTAGTCCTGGGCTTGAGGCAAAAGCAGGATTAGAGTTGAGTCGACGATAAAAGAACACCTGTGTTGAGAGGACATCGAAAAGATGACAGTGATAGCGAGAACATTGGGAGACTGAAGTTGACTTGCAATGTGACAGGCGACAGATAAATGAGTACATTATGCGAATTTACGAGTTGGGCAGATATGCAAATGGATGATT